CCAATATAATGTTTTATTTTTTAATAATTCCAAATTCGAACAGACAAATGTGTTCACGTATTGGAAAATTCGGATCAAAACAATAATGAAAGTTGTAAAAGATGATAATTGTCAACTTCTTCATAATCATAGCCAAGTATAAATACGACCGAATTATAAACTACATTTTAATAAATAAGTTATAATTATACTAATTTTTATCTATTATCACCCGCAACAAGTCCAACACACGTCATCTATCAAGTAGCACCGCAAAAATTCGCATAATTACATTTTAAGCCCTCTCTTTGAAAAGTAGAGTATGTTCAGTAAACACCAGATTATAACTTCTTTAGTTAATTTATAAATTATGTTCAAATAAATTAGTTTGGTATGTTGAATTTTTTTTCTAATTAAATCAAACTTATAAGACATTTACTCTATGTAGCGTTAATCTGTTGATTTTTTTTTAGATGAAAACTTTTATTATATATGTTATCTTTTCAGTCATCAATCATATTGAGTTTCAATCGTTGTTTAGATGAAAACTTTTATCATTAACAACCCTACGAGTGGAGCTTTGATTCCCTCTCATGAAGAGCGATATTCTCTCTTTGAGAGCGTCTTCACCAAGTCCAATCGATCATTCTCTCTTTCAGAGTTCTCCATTGTCTAGGTTTCTAGTCTAGCGTTATTCATCATCTTTTATTGGGTTCCAATTGTTTCGTTGAGGGGGAATTCTCAGTTTAGGGTTTTGTCATATTGTTTTTCATTTTTATTAGGGCTTTTTACTGCTAATCCCTTATTTCCTTTCTTTCCGCATTTTCTGGTATTGTGTGGCTCCTATTGTGCAGGTTCCTTGATGGATCCCAAAGGGACGGGAGCTACTAGTTCATTGAAGGGGGCAGATGAGTTAGGGGCAAGACTGAAGAAGATCGACCTGGATGAATTGGAAAACAAAGTTATAGAGCTTGGGGATCACGACATTCAGACCAGTGAAGAAGAATGCCAGCAGAGCTTGTTCAGAAAGGTTATCGGAGAAAGGAAAGCTAGCCTATTCGGTATCCGCAGGACTATGGCGGCCATATGGCACATTCAGAATCAAATGGAGGTAAAAGAACACAGTTCGAACTTCTTTCAGTTCATATTTGGCAGTGAGGAGGATAAAAAGATAGTTGCCAATGAGCTAAACTGGATTTTCGAAAACCAATATCTGATTTTAAAAGAATGAAAAAAAGGTCTATCAGCCAGCCACCAAGAATTCTCATCTCTTAATCTATAGGTTCATGTGAACAACCTTCCACTGAATTGGCTCAGCACTGATGTAGGTGTTAAAATAGGAAAGGTTTTCCTGAAAACTAAAAATGTAACTGTCATCAAAGTTGGGGGAGAAAGAGGCAGCTTCTTTAGGCTTCTGGTTGCAGTTGATGTTAGAAAGCCCCTTCCCAGATGTGTACATATGAAGCATAATGATCAGCAAGTGCTAGTTGGGTTCCAGTATGAGAGATTAGTAAACCTATGCTACTATTGTGGAGTTATTGGCCATCTTGATAGGCACTGTAAAAAAAGAACTGAAAACATAGAATCATGCAATGTAAAAGAGGGCAATATGGAGACTGGATGAAAGCATTAGAAGGAAGAGAAGGCTCCAAAGGGTCATCACCTAAGAGGCCATCGTACCAATCTACAGAGTCTCATCCTGCATCTAGTGACCCTCATGTGCCCTCAGACAATGAAACTCTCATCTTCTCTTCTGGGAGTGGCAGCTCTCTGAACCAACCCATTGAATGGAAGTCTGCAAGTGCAAAAGGTAAGGAGAGAATGGAGGTTCTATTAGAAGAGGATACCTATGAAGGGGCACCAGAGGGATTGACAGCCATTGAAGCTTCTCAAGATAAAAAGGAAGATATGAGAACTGACCAAGCCATACACACAGAGCTGGTTCTAGTGGAGGTTCCTGTTAGAGAGCATATGAAGGAAATGCCAGAACACGGATCATAATATCAGATAGAATTCAACTCCAAAAGTAAAAAATTGGGACAACCTCGGAAAAAAACAAAAGGATGGAGAAGAAAGACAAACCAAACTGGGAGAGTGACAAACCCTATATCCAAAGCAGATCACATCATTTCCAGAAAGAGGACCCTAAGTATTGAAGGAACAATTGAGACTGAGGAAGAAGTCATAACCAATCAGAAAAGCCAGAACAAAAAGTAAAAAAGTGAAAACCAAGAGGTGGGGGTAGCCAGCCTAAATTGGCCCCCAACCCCCCAATGAAGCTGATGGTGTGGAACTGTAGAGGTCTGGGAGGACCCTCTACAGTTGCCCAGCTGAAAGAATCTACAAGATTCCACCTCCCAGGTTTGGTATTTATTGTTGAAACTAAGAAGAATAGTGATTTTATTAAAATAGTATGTAACAAAATAGGATTCAAGGACAGATGGCAAGCAATTGATTCTGTAGGACTCAGTGGTAGACTATTGCTACTCTGGAGCAAAGAAGTTAAGGTTACTCAAGTAATCAAAAATCATTTATGCTTTGAAGTTGAGGTGACTGAGCAAGATAAGGGACCTGTTGGTACATTTTTGTCTATGCTAGCTCATTCAGGGAAGTCAGAGAAGAACAGTGGGAATTCCTAGAGAGAGCTAAGGGGAAATGGGGAGACAACTGGGTGATAGGAGGAGATTGGAATGAAATTATGGAGCATAGTGAGAAAAAAGGTGGTAGGAGAAAACCAGACAGAGAGATTTGGGGATTCCAAGATTTTAGTTCCAGAATGGGTATGCAAGACATTAATATGGTTGGGCACAGATTTACCTGGGGCAACAATAGGGAAGGGGAAGGCTTTATTGAAGAAAGATTGGATAGGTTTTTTGGATCCTTCAACTGGTTGGTAAATCATTCAAGGGCCATTATCACAAGCATTTTTAGAAGTTCCTCATACCATCATCTAATTATGCTTCATGATTTGGATGAGCAGTCTGCAACCAAAAAGAGGATATTTGTGTTTGATAAGAGGTGGTTGAAGCAGGATGGAATTCAAGACACAGTGAAACAAGCATGGGAGCTACCTAAGTCTGGGACACCTATGTTTCAAGTATCAGAAAAAATCAAAGAAACCAGAGTGGCTTTGTTAAAGTGGAGTAGTGACTTCAAGAAAAACAATGAAACCCTCAGAAAGCAGCTAAACTCGAAATTGGAAATTATGAGACTGCAAAGTGCTGAAAGAAATTGGGAAGAATGGGCTAGAACAAAGAAAGAACTGGATAGTGAAAACAAGAAAGAAGAAGAGTACTGGAGGCAAAAGGCAAGAGTTAAGTGGCTTGAGGAAGGAGACTCCAACACTAAGTTCTTTCATGCTGTTACTCTGCAAAGAAGGAAGTTTAATGAAATCACCAGACTGGTGGATCTTGAAGGAAGGGTATGTGAGAATCAGAATGAGATTGAGAACTGTCTGACCAATTTCTATGGGAAGCTTTATTCTTCAGAAGGATCGAGGGATACTGAGAATTTGCTGCAACTTCTAACCCCCACTATCACTGAGGAGCAAAACAATGAACTAGTAGCACCAGTCACTGAGGATGAAGTCAAGGATGCTCTATTCAGTATGGACCCAAGCAAAGCACCTCGCCAAGATGGTATGTCCCCATTATTTTTTCAGAAATTCTAGTCTGTATTGAAAGCTGGTCTATGTGCTGCTGTATTTAGTTTTTTTTATTCCTCTCAAATACTCAAAAGTTGGAATCACACTCTCATTACCCTTGTGCCTAAATGCTCAAATCCTGAAACCCCCAGCAACTATAGACCAATTAGTCTCTGTGGTGTTTCTTACAAGATAATCTCTAAAATTCTTTCTCTCAGACTTAAAAATTGCCTCAATTCCTGCATTAGCTTCAATCAGTCTGCCTTCATTCAGAGTAGACAACTTCTTGATAATGTCATTATTGCTCATGAAGTTATTCACTTTTTGAATAGGCATAGGTCTGGTAGAAACAAATTTATGGCTGTGAAACTAGACATGGAGAAAACTTTTGATAGGGTTGAGTGGGGTTGTGTTAGGGAGATTCTTACCAAATTGGGGTTTCATTTATCTTTTGTTAAATGGGTCTATGCTTGTATTTCATCTGCTGCTTATTCTTTTAACCTGAATGGGGAGATGAAGGGATATGTTACAGCTACTAGAGGTTTGAGACAGGGGGACCCCTTGTCCCCCTATCTATTTATTCTTGTCTCTGAGGTATTCACTAGACTTCTGAAAACTGAGGAACTAAAGGGAAATTTTGCTGGATTGAAGATCTCTAAACAAGGACCAAAGTTCTCACATCTGCTGTTTGCAGATGATGCACTTATATTCTGTAAGTTCTCACCTTTGGTTGGTTGATTATTGATTATCTGTTTGGACTGGTATTAGTTTGAGAGGTACAATGTTATTATTGCTCTCAGATTGATGTTAGATTTGTTAATATTTGAGGCCATCTCTCAAGATGGTGCTCCTGATTGTATTCGGGCTCTTTAGCCTTCGAACATGCTATTCTGTATATCTTCTATTGAATGAATACTTCTACCGTTTTGGGGAAAAAAATCATAATTTATCGGTTAATATATCAGCCATCTTTTCACTCACCAACTATAAACTATGAGTTAAGCCTATGAATTATAAGTTACAATTTATCATACATAAACTGGTTTAGTTAAAGTAAACAAGATCTAATTGTCAAGTGAGAAATAAAGGAATACTTTTAATGGCCAAAATCGACCCACATAGTATAATTTTGGGCCAAACACCTTATCATCAGCACATCACTCTGTATATCACTGCGGGGCGGAAGTGAGCCCTAATGAGTGTTTGTTTGGACATAAGCAGTGGTTTAAAAGTCGCTAGGCGCCCGCTAGGCGTTCGACCAGCGTCTAGCGCCTAGAGCGCCTAGTTGGGGCCTAGGCAGCGCCTAGTCGGTGCCCAAAAATCAATATTAAATATCTTATTTTTTATTTATTTTAACTACCTACAAAATAAAACTGTCTCAACTTATAATAAATTCACACACCAAAGTCCAAATAATAATATCAATGTATATTAAAGAAAACATGAGAACAAAATACTATAATTAGTATTTAAAAAAATAAAAATAAATAAAAAAAAAACTAAAAAATTGCCGCCGAGCTCGCCTAGAAGCGCCTAGGTCCGCCTACGCCTGCCTAGACGCCTGGCCGCCGAGCCCGCCAAGCCCGCCTTGGAGCACTTAGGGCCGTCTAGGCGCCGCCTAGCCGCCTGACCGATTTTTTCTGCTGATTTGTACAAATCGGAGACGCTCGGGCACCGCCTAGCGCCTAGGCGCCACCTAGGCCGATTTTTAGAACAGTGGACATAAGTCATAATATATCTCAAGACATTTTTAACCCAATCATTTTTTTAACTCAATTCTATTATCTTAAATATTATTAACATAATTAAATAGTATCAATCAATCATTTTTATACATCACACCAACCTTTTTTTTTGGTACATCACATTATATCAATTTTAATTCAATGTTTATCCACTCACATAAGTTTAACTAACCATCCGTTCACATCATTTCTCTACTACTTTTACATCAAATCAACTTTAATTATTTTATTTTAACTTTAATATAAACTCAAAATAATATTAACAATTAACCATACAACTTTTTTAAAAAATTAACTCTAGTTAACATAACAAAAAAAAAAAATCAAGAGAAAGCCAAAATATTTTATATCTGAATTTTCAGATTATCTCTGTGTTATTCTCTTGCTGAGAGGATTCCGTTCAACCTTCATTTCTATATTATCTACGCATTCTGATTCCTCTGAGTGAGCTAGGGTTTTATTGAAAGATATACCATTTAGGGCTTTATACAGCAATAAAAAATGAACGAGCAGCCTAAAATAGGCCCTGATTATGAAGACCTAGCTGATGAAATTGAGAGCAAGCTAAGGAACATTGAGCTAGCCGGAGTTGAAAATGGGCTAGTTGAGCTGTATGAGGAAGATATCAAATCCAGTGCTGAGGAATGTGAGAAAAGTCTCTTCGGAAAAGTCATAGGAGACAGGAAAGCCTCTCTTCTTGGTATAAAACGAACAATGAGTGCAATATGGCAAATCAAACAACCAGTGGAGATCAGAGAGCTAAGCCATAATTTTTTCCAATTTATTTTTGGGAATAAAGAAGACAAAATAAAAGTGGGCAATGGAGTGAATTGGATATTCGAAAACCAATACCTTATTCTTAAGGAATGGGAGGATGGCATGAGACCTAATCTCAAGGGTTTTGATAAGCTTAATCTCTGGGTGCAAGTGAGAAATGTCCCTCTCAATTGGCTCAGTGCTGAGGTTGGGCTTAAGATTGGAAAGATATTCAAGAAAGTAAGGAATGTAGTAGTTATTAAACCTTTAGGAGGGAAAGACAGTTACATCAGGCTCCTAATAACGGTCGATATAACTGAACCTATTCCCAGATGCATCAACATGAAGTTAAACGATTCTCAGGTCTTAATCAGGTTCCAATACGAGAGGTTAGTCAATCTCTGTTATTACTGCGGCAAATTGGGACACCTTGATAGAGTATGCAGCAAGAGAACTGTAGACATAGAACAGGGATCCTTGAAAGGAGGACAATATGGAGATTGGTTGAAGGCCGGTGAAGGGGGAGGTCTTAACAAAGCAGGCTATGCTAGTAACTTCTACAAAACGGACACAGAATTTCTTGAGCCAGAATTTAATGAGCCACAAGGACCTCCAAGCAGAGTCAATGACACAACAGAAACCAACAATGATACAAGAGCAGAAGGTGTTAATGACACAAGGTTGAATATCAATAAGACAAATGCAGAACCAAGCAAAAACGAAGAGGAAATGCCTACTTCTAGCAAAAAAGCAGATGGTATTATACATCTGATTCCCATTAAAGAGGATGATTTCCAGCTCTATGAGGATAACAACCTGATGCACATGGGAGATCAAAACAAAGAAGACATTATCATGAATGAAGGGAATCTGGGAGTGGATATCACAAGCCAGACTGATGCAGCCATATCTCAAAGCACAGGTAAAATTGGCTCAAGTGTGAGAGGATGGAAAAGAGCTAGAAATGCAGAAGGCAGGAATTTAAAGAGCATGGCAAGAACAGGAGGCATTGTCATTCAGGAACCAATGAAAAGGAATAGAGATCCAACTGTTGAGCAAGAAGAAGAGGATTCAGAACAAGGAAACTTGATCAGGAGTAAAAAGAAAGCCAAGATCACTGATGATAAGGTGGAGGAAGCCAGCCTAGAGTGGCCCCAACTCAATAGATGAAGGTGATCATGTGGAACTGTAGAGGTCTGGGTGGACCCTCTACAGTTTCACAACTTAAGGATTCTCTTAGAATCCACCACCCTAGCTTCATCTTTTTGTCCGAATCTAAAAAGAAAAAAGATTTTGTCAGAACTGTCTGTAATAATTTAGGTTTTTGTAATAGATGGGTGTCTGCTGACCCCATGGGCATTAGTGGAGGTCTTATTTTGTTATGGGATAAAAATCAAAAAATATTGCAAATAATTTCATTCCTTTTGTTTTGAAGTAGAAGTAGAGAATCCTAATGGCCAGGGCTCTTTCTGGTGTATTTTTGTTTATATGAACACTGACAAGTCGATAAGGAGAGAGCAATGGAATTTCCTGTTGCAAGCTAGAAAAACTTGGGGACAAGAGTGGATGATAGGAGGAGACTGGAACACCATTGTGGACAACAGTGAGAAAAATGGTGGAAGGGACAAGAGCCTTGAAGACATGACAGAATTCAAGAACTTTATTGCTCAAATGGAGATGGTGGAAGTCAGAATGCTGGGACATCAATTCACATGGTCTAACAACAGGACTCATGAACACTTCATTGAGGAAAGATTAGATCGGGTTTTTGGATCTTTTCAATGGACCAATAAATTCTCCAATGCAGCTGTGATTAACTGCTTTAAATCATCCTCGGATCACAGCCTATTGATACTAGTTAATGATACCACCATTTCACACAAGAAGAAGCCAAGGTTCCAATTTGACAAGAGATGGGTGTCCAAACCAGAAGGGAAGGCAATAGTTCAGAAAGCTTGGAATCAAATTTGTTCTGGGACTCCAATGTTTAGATTCCAGGAAAAGCTCAAAAATGCAAGAATTGCTCTACTAAAGTGGAGTCCGGCCTTCAAGACAAACAATGCCAAAACAATTGAAAGGCTTACTCTGCAATTAGAGGATATGAGGCTCAACAGTCAAGGAAAAAACTGGGACAGCTGGGAAAGAATCAAGAAAGAGCTAGAAGAAGCTCAATGTGCAAAAGAGATTTTCTGGAAGCAAAAGTCAAGAAATTTGTGGCTTAAAGAATGCGACCAAAACACAAAGTTTTTTCATGCACTAACAATGCAAAGAAGGAAAAGCAATGCAATTACAAGGCTGGTGACTGAAAGAGGCACAACCTGTGAAAGTAAGGAAGACATCGAAAATGAAGTGTGCAATTTCTACAAGAGTCTTTTTACCTCAGAGGGATCATCAGATAACAGAGGAGACTTTCAGCTGATTCCAAAAGTCATCACAGACTCTATTAATCAGAATTTGACTACATCTGTGGAGGAAGATGAAATTAAATCTGCCCTATTCAGCATGAATCCAGATAAAGCCCCTGGAATCACAGGTATGTCACCTCTCTTCTTTCAGCACTTCTGGCCAATCATCAAGCAAGATCTCTGTGAAGCTGTGGTCAGTTTTTTTGAATCAAATTCACTGCTAAGGAGTTGGAACCACACTATTCTTACCTTGATTCCAAAATGCATTAGTCCTTCCTCCTTGAGTGACTTCAGACCAATCAGCCTATGTGAAGTGGCATATAAGATAATTACCAAGATAATTGCCAACAGAATGAAGCCTTTTTTGCATCTGTGTGTTAGTGAGAATCAAGCTGCCTACATTCCAGGTAGGCAGCTACTTGATAATGTGATCATGGCTCATGAGGTAATCCACTATCTAAACAGGCACAGATCTGGTAAACATGGTTTCTTAGCTCTCAATCTTGATATGATTAAAGCTTATGATAGGCTTGAGTGGAAAAGCCTGCAGACAATCCTGTTGGAATTTGGTTTTAACTGGAAATTTGTTAGATGGATTATGGTATGTGTTTCCTCAGCTTCCTTTTCAGTTAATATTAATGGAGACACGGCTGGTTTTTTTGATTCCTCTAGAGGCATAAGGCAAGGGGATCCTCTATCCCCTTACCTATTTATTCTGGTGTCTGAACTCTTTTCAAGGCTGATCAAAAGGGAAGTGGATGATGGAAACTGGAAAGGAATCAAACTAGCTAGGGGTGGTATGCAGCTCTCTCATCTACTATTCGCTGATGATTCACTCCTGTTTTGTGGTGCTGACAATGACTCCATATCTGCTGTTTTGAGAATCCTTGATTCTTATAACAAATGCACCGGACAGAAAGTGAACTTCTTGAAATCTTCTATCTTTTTTAGCAAGAATGTGTCTGCTGCAGTTCAAGCTGATATTTGTCTCCTTCTCCAAGGCATTCAAGCACATAGATCTTCAAAGTATTTGGGACTTCCTCTTGGTGTGGGAAAGTCTAAAAAACAGACATTTCAATATGTTTTAGAAGCCGTGAGAAAAAGGGTCACCAGTTGAAAAAACAATTTCTTGTCACTTGCAGGCAAAGAAGTGTTAATGAATTCTGTTCTTAATGCACTTCCTGTATACACTATGTCCTGCTTTGCATTACCAAAAAATGTTTGTCAGGAAATTACTCAAAGTTGTGCTAAGTTCTGGTGGAAAACCAACAATGACAGCAATTCTGGGGTCCACTGGAAAAGGTGGCAACTTATTACTCTACCCAAGATTTATGGTGGGCTGGGATTTCATGATTTGAAGCTGTTCAACGATGCACTCATTCTAAAGCAGCTCTGGAGAGTAATTTCTCAGCCTAACCTACTAATGAGTAAATTCCTGAAAAGCAAATACTTCTCAACTGGAAGTCTGATCAAAGCAAAGGTACATCAGAATGCTTCATGGCTATGGTCAACATGGATGGCTGTAAGAGATAGATACAAAGGCTGCTTCAGAATACAGGTGGGAGATGGATTGAGCACCAATATTTGGAATGATCCATGGCTGGACTTATCTTCTTCAGGCAGCCCTCAGAGACCAACAAGCAATCTTCAAGGCTTAAACTTGGTTAGAGAATTGATGGATGCTGAAGGCAGAAGATGGAATGTGGATTTGATAAGACAGATATTTAACTCTGAAGATAGTAACAGCATTCTGAGAACAAAAACCATTGACCCCAATAAAAAAGATAGATGGGTTTGGAAAGATGATGCTAAGGGTGTGTTCTCTGTTGCAAAAGCTTATTCCAAGCTGGTAGAGCAGAAATTCAGAAACCTTGATTTGGCTGAGAGCAGTAAGTCGGCTGGAACTCTAAGAAGAATCAGAAGTAGAACTTGGAAATTGAAAGTCATGGGAAAATTAAAACACTTCCTATGGAAAAGCTTCTCAGATGCATTGCCAGTCAAAGCAGCTTTAAGGAAAAGGGGAATGTTTGTGGATGGAATCTGTCAATCATGTGGAGAGGAGATCGAGACAAATGAGCACTTGTTCTTTCATTGTAGAAGAGCTAAGGAGGTATGGAATTTAGCTCCGGTCCAATGGGAACTTCCTAAAGATCCTAACATCAAATTCAGATCATGGTGGGGTGATGTTTGCTCCATCAATAAACTGGAAGTCTCTGAACAGCGCATCGAGCTAACAACATACCTTCTATGGTGGTTATGGAAAGCTCGGAATCTCTGGGTATTTAAAAAAGAATGGATGCCAGCTCGAGTCATCATCAAGCTAGCCATGGGAAGTTGGCAAGAATATGCTAGAAGAAACTGTAAATAAATCAATGAAGAGGTGAAGTGTGGTCTAGGTCCAGCAGGTGCAGTGGGCTGCTTCATGAGTTCATTGGTTTATTCTCAGATTTCACAATGCTGCTCAACTATTATTCTGCAATTTTTCATGGAAGTTTATTTTTCTTTTATTAGTTTTCTCAGCCTGTGTTTTGATGTATATATGTGGGCTTGGTTCCTGTTTTGCTACACCTAGGTTGTTTGGGGTTGCTAAGGAATACTAAGGGTGACAGCATTTTTCTGGCCTTAGTATGTGCTTAGAAATCAGTATTTGATAGTGGTGTATTTTTGTGTTCATTTAGAGCACCTGCATGTAGGTGACTCTCCCATTTGATTAGGGCCAGTCGGCTCCCGATTGTATATTTGTACATTTGATGATATATAATANAAAGCATCCTAAAGTGTCTGCTTGGCCCAACTTTGTTTTTATCGATAAAAACGTATTCCGCTTAGATACAAAATTTGCCATCAAGCTTTCTACGTAACATAACTTTAGAAAACCTCGTTTCTTTCATAAATCACAAACATCTAATTTGTATTTGTTTATATTTGGAAAATTTACATCTGAAATAGAGATTTTATGTACATTGCCAAACATAGGTATTTGCAATAGATATTAACTTTTTCAGCAAATTCTTGTAATAATCATTGGGAGCAAAATGCAAAATTGAACTCAAGCTATATCAATATGCAGTTTAAAAGAGAATAAATTTCTTAAAATAGATATGTAGACTGTTGTTCGACCACTCACCTAAGAGCACCTCCAGTGCTCTACCATTGACATTGAAAATTGATGCCACATGACATAATATAAGTGGTACTGTCTAATGGATGTCGAATAAATGTACTTGACATTGACGTAAAATTTTAAACCAACTCCAATGCACTTATTTTAAACACAATGTCTTCACTATTTAAAATTAAATTTAACAAATAAATTATTTAATGTCTCGACTAATATTTATTTAGTTTATCGATAACCAACAAAAACTCATTATTTAATAATTTGACATGTGTTCATCAGTTGTGACTCTTTTTTTAATACAAACTATTAAAAGTACGACACGTTTGTACATGTATTTTTATAAAATTTTATTTTATTTTTTATTAAAGATTTTAATTTAAATTATTTATCTAATTTTCATAATTTATACTTTACAAATTAATATAATTATAAGTATTCGTATGCTTCTTGCCTGAATTTTATAAATTTTTTTATCTTAAATGTTAAATGGTAGGTAGTTAAATTATTTTAGACTTATAAATTTATGTTCATAAAATATTTTGTAGGTAAATTCCTTTGAATTTTTGTAGGTAAAATTTTTTGTAGTTCATAATATTTTGTAGGTAAATACATTTGAATTTTGTAGGTAAAATATTTTGTAGGTAATTAATTATTTTAGACTTATAACATAAAATATTTATGTTCATGAAATATCTGTTGGCGCAATTTTTATCCCACGTTTTCTTAAGATTTTGGCATGATTGCGCTGAGTCACGCTGTTATGGAGACTTTCTACCTCCAGACAGTGGGTGAGAAAGTGGTCACGCCACGCCAAAAAAATATGGGCCAAGACAGTGAGCATTGGAGAAGAAAAAATAAAAACGATGTTTACAATATTTATGTGGCATAGATTTTTTGGACTCAACAGTCCCGCACTGGAGATGCTCTAAGAGCTTAAAGTCATCTTTTCACTTTTATATGTACGATTCCAAAGAATATATAAGAATTTAGGTAAATTTTCAGGTAAAATGTATTTTACGAATTTTTCAATTTATCCTAATGTGGATATCCAGTTGCATTATTGCATATATAAAAAAAAAAATGGTGTAGATTATTGGAAAAATATTCGTTGAATATGACGCAGTACTTGTTTTGTTGGAGTATCACTTGTAAGTTGTTCCACATTGATTTTATAGGAAAATTGAGCCTAGCTTATGTATATAGTGGACTACTCCTTTTATCACCAATTGGTTTTGAGATGGAACCTCACTACGGTGTACCTAAGTCCACCCTCTTATGGTGCACTTCATCTGCGTGGGACCTTACCCGATTCTCTAAATCTTACAGTACTCTTCAATATTAGAGAAAAAGAGGGACTGCACCCTCTTACCCGATTCTCTAAATCTTATTAATTTTCAACAAGTTGACATCATGTGTTAGAAGTTGTACATCATGTGTTAGAAATCGTACCGGTCAAATTACACAAGATCCTGTGGTCAGACAACATAATGGTTAGGTTGATTCACCCGTCATACTAAGGGAAAAACTAAGAATAAAAATACATACTTAAATCAAATATCATACTTTTGTTTATATTATTTTTGAAAGTATGACACTTTTTAATAAAAAGATGTATATTTTTTAGAAAAGTACGAAGTCTTATTAATTAGATCGGCCTACAGAAACCTACCATTAGAAGAATAGTCTGCAAAACAAAAACAAGGCCTGACAAGGATTTTTACAATTTTGAATGATTAATTAACACCCTCAACTAAACGTTGAAATCCAAAATTCATAAATAATTTACACCCTCAACTTCTCAAATAAACCCCCAAATTCCCCACAAAATTCATGATCATCAGACACCCTAGAAATCTCCCAAGCAAAATCCTCCAACCCGAACAAAACTACCGAACAAAGAAAAAAGAGAAATGACCTCTTATCTTAAAAAACCCAAACCCTAATTTCTATAAGCTAGAGAGATACTTAGCCCGTGATCGGCGAATCGAAATAGTAAACTGGGGGGCGTATTGGGAAATATTGGGAGATACTGCCGTTTGCCGCTGCTCACGAGCGCAGTCATCACCGAATTTGGTGTCTTCAGAGGAAATCAGATGAAGAGCGGGAGAGGGTGTCTTGTGTGTGTGTGCTTTTCTAAAACCAACAGAAGAATGAAAAAAAAAAAATGAAAGAGAGAGGAAATAGAGGAGAGATTAGAAGAAAAAACAAAGAGAGAAGGAGGAGAGATTAGAAGAAAAAAGTTGGATGTGTCACGTGCATGTGATGGGTAGTATTTAATAGTTAGTATTTATATAAATATTATGTTACCTACATATTTATGTTAAGTTAGGTAGATATGCAAATAAGTTTTTCATAAGTATTTTTGCAATTATTTTAGCAATCAGTATGTATTATGTAAATTGGTAATTGGCCAATATACAATCCATTACTAATAGACCATCAAACACAAACCACCAATATACAATCCAGTAATAATAGACCATCAAACACAAAACCACCAAACTTTAAAGAAAGAGCAGCCAAAAGCACTACAATAACTTTCATGAACATAAAATGGAGACTTGAGTAATCCATACCATCCAAAATCACAACCAATCACTTTCATCCATGCGGTAGATTGATTTTCTTCAATAGGAAAAGAATATGCGAGTTTTGATGTTGAAGAAAAAAGCAGACACAAGTTAGCATTTGAACTACACTGGCAAACCTGAATGTTATCTCAGCATCAATTATGCTATTCCTATACGACCCACACAAATACTCTTTTGCTGCAACTAAAATATGAACAAGTATGTGTGTTGGAATGTTGATGAGAAAAGCAGGCACATTTAGCAATTAAACGCGACACATGGGTTGTGTCCAAAGTGCGGTTATGAAGGGAAAAACATTGAAATCCAATTTTTACCTACACGGTGGCGCTACTAAAACCAAAGATGAATTATAATACTAGTTCTTATTGACAACAAATCATGCACAAACAGAAATATGAATTGAAGAATGCCTCTTAATTGACTCTCTTTAAAAGTAATACCAAGTCCATTGATAAGCTACAAAAACAAACGAGAGAATTGTCGAATTTCCATCTATCTTGTTCATGATCATAATCAACACATTAAACCAGCAAACAGATTTAACATAATGTACCTTGTAAATCATTACAAAAAACTTGGGTGAGGGAATTTAGCTAGCCATTAGGCGGGTCGACCCGTAATACTATGTGAACTAAAATGCATACTTATACTATCAAATGTCGTAGTATGTCATTTTCTAATGAAAGTAAATATAATTGTAAAAAAAGTATGCCGGTTATACCCGCCTAATAGAAGGCCTACCAGTGAATCATATTCTCATCTCCTCATGAACAAAAAGACATTCCTTACACACTTTAAGAAACATAGCATGGAAAGACAGATAAACAAAACATTGAATTTGCAATCAAAAAACAGTTTCCCCATCAAGAATCCTTCAACAATCTCCATTCGGAACAGAGTACACCTAAACAAGTCACACCCAAATTGCACAGAAGCAAGACATTCGAACCAATTATAGGCAAATATTCCAGAAAGAAGAAGAAGAAAAAAAAAAAATTATTATTCACCAAAAACCAAGCCTTTTGCCCAACCAAACAAAACCCAACTTCCAAAGAAATAAACACTTGCTCTTACTTCTTCTTCGGGCTCTTAATACTCTTAGTGCTCTTCGCGGCCTTGCCGCGCGCGTGGACCTCCTTCCTGTGCGAGCGCTTGGGCTTCAGCTCCCCTAGCTTGTGGCCGACCATATTCTCCGAAATGCGGAAAGGGACGTGCTTCCGGCCGTCGTGGACCGCGATCCGGTGTCCCACCATATCCGGAACGATGGTGGACCCTCTCGACCACGTCTTGATCAGCTCCTTCTTCGAGCTCTGGTTCAGCTGCTGGATCTTCTTCACCAGGTGGTTGGCGACGAAGGGGATCCGCCAGCTGGTCCCGCCGGAGCCGCCGCGGAGGCGGAGGACGAGGTGCAGGGTGGACTCCTTCTGGATGTTGTAGTCGGCTAGGGTTCGGCCGTCCTCGAGCTGTTTACCGGCGAAGATGAGGCGCTGCTGGTCGGAGGGGATGCCCTCCTTGTCCTGAATCTTCGCCTTCACGGTGTCGACGGCGTCGGAGGCCTCGACCTCGAGGGTGATTGTTTTGCCGGTTAGGGTTTTGACGAAGATTTGCATTTTCGTTTGGATTGAATTTGGGGGAAAACGGTGATGGGTGGAAGAGGAGAAGGGTTTTAGTATATTGGAGTTTATTTGACTTACCTCCCCTAGAGTTTGATGAATATCGAAACTCACCCAAGATTTTACACAGCCTAAAAAAGGAGCATATGCAATCCCTATTATCCACTTTTGGCTGTTTGCGTTAGATTAGGAAAAGAAATATATCATTAATATATATTATTTAAATATTCAATCGTTGTTATAAGAAAATAATATAAACAAAATAAAAAATTTAGAAAATAAGATTACATGCTAGAAAGAAGATAATAAATAGATTTAATATGGAATGATCTAAATATATTAAATATGTGTCTATATATAATAATTCGAACTTAAGTTATTTGGTATAAAAAAATTAATAATTTTTATCTAAGTCATATTACAAATATGAATTGATTGTTTTTCTGTTGTTATAATATGTTGTTATAACAGATTATAACAAAGATGGATTGATTTTTTTTTCTGTTGTTAGAAAAAAAAAAATAATTTTTCTGAAGCTACACAACCCATAACCAATTTACTGCAAATCCAATGATTCCAACCAATTATATCATCATCAGTATAATCTGTAATAGTCCTTTACTAGAAGCAGAGAAACAAATCAACACAAAAATACCATCATAATATATATTAATTAATATCAGTAAACCAATTTATTCATAATAAAGCTAACTTAAAAACCAGACTAAAGAACACTCAAACAGAATCCAAAACAAAGCCACCGCGAAGCCTCAAGACGAGATGCAGAGTCGACTCTTTCTGTATATTATAATCGGCCAAAGTCCTCCCGTCTTCCAGCTGTTTTCCGGCAAAGATAAGCCTTTGCTGATCGGTTGGAATCCCTTCTTTGTCCTGAATCTTAGCCTTCACATTCTCGATCGAGTCAAAACTTTCCAAATCAAGAGTGATTGTTTTTCCGGTGAGCGTCTTCACGAAGATCTGCATTCCACCGCGAAGCCTCAAAACAAGATGAAGAGTCGATTCTTTCTGTATATTATAATCGGCCAGCGTTCGCTCGTTTTCCAGCTGTTTTCCGGCGAAGATCAGCCGCTGCTGATCGGCCGGAATCTCTTCTTTGTCCTGAATTTTGGCCTTCACATTATCGATCGAGTCGAAACTATCAACATCAAGAGTGATTGTTTTTCCGGTGAGCATCTTGACGAAGATTTGACTGCCGCCACGTAGGCGGAGAACGAGATGGAGAGTCGATTCCTTTTGGATGTTGTAATCGGCCAGCGTTCGCTCGTTTTCGAGCTGTTTTCCGGCGAAGATTAGGCGCTGCTGGTCGGGTGGGATTCCTTCTTTGTCCTGAATCTGGGCTTTGACAGTGTCGATTGTGTCGAAGCTTTCGGCCTCGACGGTGATTGTTTTTCCGGTGAGGGTTTTGACGAAGAACTGCATTGTCATCTTTTTTTTGGATTGAGAAGATGAATTTGTTTTGCTCTGAAGATTGTTTGCTGGTGATTGTTGGGCTAAGAGGAGGCCTTTACTTATAGGGACGAATTTTGCCTGTGGAGAATAGGCCTAGGATGTTCTAGAAGCTTGGAATAGCCGCAAATTTCTTCTGCCTTAATCCTACTCCAAATCCAACTAATTGATATTCCTAATTATTTTTTTATTTTTTAATCATGTTGAGACTCCTAAACATGGTAGGCCGATTTTTTGTTTCTATTAATTATCGTGCTTAATCCTACTCCAAATCCAACTAATTGATATTCCTAATTTTTTTATTTCACTTTTTAATCATATTTGGACTCCTAAACATGGCCGATATATTGTTTCTATTATTTATCGTTTGAGACTTTAATTCTAATAGCACAAGAAAGCAATAATTAATAATATAGTTGTATTATAATTTATAAACTAAACTAGTTTTACCGAGTGCATTTGCACGAAAAGCGATATAATAGAAGAGAAAATAATTAAAAATATAGATTAAAATAAAAATCATTACTTAATAAATGAGAAAAGAAATAATTTAAAAAGTGAATCTAAATATTATTAAACACCTCTTCTCCTTATATACAACAGTCGTGGTTTTCTTATCGTCAGAATTCTTATCACAACAAATTATTATCGTTACACCCATTCGACTCATGATTCTGTGATTTAATTTTTCAAATATCTTTGTAATATCTAAAAAAATATTTTTTTTATTATTGTATGACTGTAATAAAAAATAGAGATATTTGTAGTTATTCTTCATTAATTGTGAAATATGCATTTTTATAATACCAAAAAATATATATAGTATCAAAATAAAACAAAACTATTTTGTATATCAGGACATAAAAATACGTTTTAGAAATGAACACCATCCAAAATGGGACCTATCAAAATAAATTGTGTAACCGAAAGTTATATATTTTTTATTAAATGGTAGATATATTTTTATTAAATAAACACCTATTTTTATTAAATGAACTCATATTATTATTAATTGCTGGCTGAATAAAATTTGTTGAAGCTTGCCAGCAATTATATATATATAAGTAACATTAATTACTATTTCCTTATAACAACATTCTAACTTTAATTATTTGACTTATTATATTTATTGGAACAAAATATTTTTAATATTGAAATTTATATTTAGTTTCAATAATTTGACTCATAATTTGGTCTTCCAGGATGTTACAAAATTTGTGTCATATATTTGAATGATTTTACAAATGATATGAAATTGATTCAATATAACATGTGCAGTAATCTAATTCTTATCAACCCGGTTGATCTAAATAAAAATAATGCCATTCCTATAGTATATGTTCATAACAAATAGCAATATACCATGACTATAACAAATCAATTATTTCTTACTTTATAAATATTTATAAAATAATAAATATAATAATTTTTAAAAATTCAATTTGATTAATTTATTATGTAATTAACACGATGACTCAAATTCTGTTATCAATTCTCCCTTCAAAGGAGGACCGAAAATCACAAGCACGAATACATACATTCCTCCTGCAAAAATGTTTTAACAAAATAAAAGTAATGTACATTTACCTTATGATGATTGATGAATACATTCGTGCTTGCTTTTTACAACAAGATCTAGAAGAATACAGATAACATTAACGAGTGTGAAAAAAGCCACTTCAAGCTACTCTTAGTTGGCAGATATCAGTTCATTGAGCTCACAAATTATCATGGCTTAATAGGAAAAACAGGAATAAAATACAAGGCATGACTTGCTTTGAAGCGCATGTTAAAGATATAAATAAAGTCACGTCTGAGTTCTGACATTAGCATTGACTTGACAAGTTCCCTAAACAATATTCATTTTCCCCCAATATTTTTGAGGAACATTTGCACACATGGATATACATAGACATATATATATATATACAACAAGGTTTTGGATAAATTATTGCCGAACATAATGAAATATATTTAACTTTATTTTTCCTTATTACTGTCCTCCATGGCCGATGCCTTGCAGATGGGACATACGTTCTTCATCGACAGCCATTTTCGAATGCAGCCCACGTGAAAATCGTGGCCACACGATTTCAAAGTCCCTACATCATCCATGTTTTTGTATTCCTCCTGTTAGTTACCAAAATCACACACTAATTAGGAACTTGNGAAAAAGACCACACTTTGTTATATACGAGTTATATTGATTTAACTTTCATTCGTGCAGAAATCTTTCAAATTTGTCAAAAGTTTACCAAACAAATGACACAGTTTCCTTCATCTTGAGAGAGGTCGGACGAACAATATATGGACTCGGTCAAGCATTTGGAAATCGAACGATCGGTCAAGCCGGTGCTCACACTCCCGATCCTTTCTCCAAGTGCAAGAAGCTCCTGCTCATGCCAATAAGTGCTTATGTTCAAGAAAACTTGGGTGAAATATAGTAAAGGCAGTGAGTGATAAAGACGTGAAGGGAAAGATTGTAAACACAAAGTCGTAAAAAGGGACTGACCTCATAACTCATGTTGTCTATGTCGAGTCTCATGTCCCTGTGCTGATCAAACAGAGTTCTTGATCCGTAGGCTGCATTGTGGTCCACAACCATGAGACCCTGAAAAATAATTTTTTTTATATGTTACTTCAAATACAGCAAGTGAATTAATTGAAGGTTTAGATCATTACACAAGTTTTTGAAGTTGGTCAGGTATAAAATCTAATAGTTTCCATCAATGAAGGATTTTGCAGTAGAAATTCTCTCTCATAACTCTTCATCTCTTGTTTTCAATCTTCGCTACTTTGCGTTTACTCATTTTTCATACGACATCACTGATCAAATGCATTTCCAGAGTTCACATAAATTTCTCAAATATTAGAATCTTAAACAAAAATGCCAGCAGGGCACACCGAAAATATGACGGGAAAATTTCACCGAAGCTCCAACCAACAAGAAAAGACAGATCTACTATTACTAACAACTTCAATAACAGATAGAAATGTTGAAGAAACTTCAAACGTCATAAACTCAAACCATAATCTTCAAGGGTTAAAACTCAAAAGACATAAATACCTCAGGTGCCAGCCGATTACGAAAACTTGCCTCGTCACTAAGATATCGATATCTATCACCCGATATACAAGTTCTCACGTTCCTATCGAAACTCCGCAGCCTTAGGTTGGAAAGAGCCCGTGAATGTCTCGAAGGATAACTTTCTCCAACATGCTGCCTCTCGTCTGGGGCAGGTGGACGGAAGTTGCTGGAAGAAGCCCTGAATGTGGGGGCTGACCTTTGACCATAACTACTTCGGACTCCTCTGACGGACGACTGGTTCAAGTGATTTCCAACATTTTGAGGAACGTGATTTCTAACATCACTGTTGTTGTAAGCCCCAATCTCCACAGAATTATTATTAGGAAGAAGGTTGTTCATTGTATTCTGGGGATTCGTATCGTGACCGAAGAAACTAGAATCTGAAATTTTCAAATTAAAAAAATAAAATAAAAACAAAATCTTTGTTAATAAAAATATAACATATACACATCTTTTTGTTTAAAAATAAATAAAATAAATCCAAGAATAACTAACCCGAGCCAGAAATCAATCCATGGGGACCAGCAGCTGGTGGTACGTGATTAGAATTCCATTCGTGCGTTGGCGCATTTGAGCTTTGACCCCAGAAATCCACCAAATTAGATGGGTCAGAGGATTGATTAGGAAAAGTATGATGCAGAGTACTGCTCGGCAAATGAGACCTCGCCAGATGGCTTTCCAGGTCAATCGAAGCTCGACTCCTCACATTTCTCATTGTACTACCCTCTCCTCCTATAGAGAGGCTACTATTATTAGGTCCATAACCGGAAGAATATTCCCAACGAGAGTGACAATGTTCGGCATTCTGCTTTTCCTGCCACGGGTCGTTAGGCAGATGAATATCGGACGAACTTCCGACATCGTAATATCTGCTGCTCGTGGACCCCATCTCGAAGATTGGAGGGATGCAGGGGCTTTTCCGCTTGTAGGGCCCACGACAACTGCCATCTGTCTGATTGTAAAAAACAGTATCTATTGTCTGGCCACTGACATTTGACGAAGATGGGTGGTGTGGATAATTTTCTTGAAAAATGTGAGGATTTCCAACAGAGGGTTGATGCGGGAAAGGACCACGGGACGGGACAGGAGCTACTGGTGGCAAGGGCTGATAATGTGAAAATTCCACATTAGGTATGGAAGGAGAGTGACCAGTTGATGATGACCTAAGAGGCGGGCCCCACTGGGGTGGATAGGGTCCACCTTGGTTTGTGATATTATCGGCAGAATGAATAATCGAGCTGCTTTCAGGAACACCTCTTCCTAGCAATACGGAAAAAGTTTTTTTTTAAAAAAAAAGGATAAATGTAAGACAATGTCTGATGGGGAGGAGAAGAAAAAGGAAAGGAAATTTAACAAAATGCAAGCACAAATGACCTGATAATTCTACGGAGAATCAGTTTTCTGGTATCAGTAGCACAAAATAGGCCCACTATGATTCTCAGTCTACTCAGCCAAGAGTAAAGAATTGACTAGAAGGCATACCTACCTAAAAGAACCTAAAAACAATCAACGTAATTCATGGATAAAATTTCGTTTTCTTTTCGCCATGAGGTCAAACAGAATGCATCATATTAGCATGAAAGGTCATCCGACAGAGATGAGGATGAAAATCACCCCCAACAAAATATACTCATTACTACCATCCTCAGAAACTAAATGATACTAACTGTCTTTCCTGCACCAAGTCATAATGCCAAAAAAAATGCTGTATGCCTGGCAATCGGTTTCCAACTATTAGCCGAGAAAATGGAAGAAGAAGATGATGATGCTAGAAGAATAAATGGGTAACTTTAACTAAAAAAATAAGAAACCCGTGAAAATGAGAGTAACTAAGGAATGTTATACCAATGGGCATATAAGGTTGCTCTGCATGATTCCATCCCTGATCAATCTCATTCTCAAAAATCTGAGATGCATTAAAATGTTGTCTGTGCCCCATAGTTGTCACACCTGAGTGATGATATTTCTTGCGCAGATGAAAACCTGCATGGCATCACGTTATATCCCCAGGTATCACATGTAAATTCCACTAAGTTAGATGGAAAACGCGCAGCAAAAGGAACAGTACGAAGAGGGCAAATATTAAGAGACAGATTACTTGCATCAATTATTCAACTCAATTTATACAAGCCTAACAGATAAAAAAAATTGTTTAGCTTGTCTCAATGACCAAGTAAATAGAGAAAGAAAATTGAGAAAAAGAAGAACAGGATTTATGAAATTCTTTAAACCCCATTATAATAAATCCACCTCCTGAACTAGAGACTTAATCCACAATACGGACAAACTATGCCAAAAAGAATTAAACATTTTCCTGTCTACAACCTTGAGGATTCTAATTGATGTTAAGAGTAGAAATAATTATTCAAAAAAATAGGTTAGGAGATTGACATAGTTCAAAACAGAAAGTTAGTTAATAACACAATAAGAAAACCAGACAAGAACTAAGAAAAGTAAAACTTTGCAAATCTTGCATTATAAAGAAAAATTCTCCAGTCTGCTATAGCCTTAGATGTCATTTTGATTGCAAGTTGCAGACGGCTCTCTTATAATTTGAATGAGATGGCAAAAGGAGCATGTGAGAGAAATGATGCATAATCTCTGTTTGAGAAAGGAAAATCTTAAACATGATTCGCAGAGTAATGGCAGGGACCAGCCCCAATATGGTTCACTCACTTCAAAATTTGGGCACACTAGACACCTGGGAAAAAGGAAAATCTTATCGGCAGTGGTAATTAAGAGAAAACAGAACCGCCTACTGTACTCATCAAGACCAAACAAAATTATAAGAAAAATAAAACATCTTGACTCACAAAACTGATAATAACACAAGTCTTTTCATTCACCAGAGGTGAATTGAAAGAGCATGTTCATCTTTGTAAGTAGTTCAAAGTATTGATTCCACATAATATCTTCAAACTCTAAACAGTATAAGAAGATCCATCATCACTAAGAAAACCAGTTATTTTTCAACTGAGACAACATATGCATCCTAATTTACAAACTTCAACTGACCAATAAAAAACATAATAAGTTAATTGCTTGAAAACAGTCCTCTCCAAGTTACAAAACCTTATAAATCTTTATCAGAGGTTAAATTTACCATTAGAAAACTTGCTTTAACACCGAAGAATGCATTGTGACAGATTTAGTTTTTCAGGTTCATATATTTATAAATTCCAACACTCCCATTGGAGGATCTTACAGCATGTAAGAGACTCAAATGAAAAAGTTAATCATTAGAAACTACAACAAATATAGCTAAAATGGACCTCCATTATACCATCGGTTTCCAACAGAAGAGGAAAACTACAGATATGCTATCTGATGGCCTAGCCATTCATAACTATAGGACAATCTTAATCAACAGAACAATAATATATTACATAGTCTTTTGACGCAAGCATGCACCTTTTGAAAAAAAATAGAGTCATCGCAAATAAGTTGTATCATCTTATCAGACAATGAAAAAAATCCATAAATAAATAAGTTCAGTAGTGAGGTAAACTTCCTAACAATTTGGAAGGCTGTTCAGTACATCTCAAATGCAACATTTGTCTTCTCTATCAGGACTGCAACAAACGAATGCAGAAGAACGATTAATGTTGGAATTCTACATGACAGCTCTCCATTATGAATTCAAGGAAAGGATGTTGATGTATGACACAACAAGACCCATTTAGGGTAACAGCGATTTGAACCAAACTCATTCTTTCTCTTAGGCAGTATGAGATGTATCCCTACCCTCTCATCCTTCTAGAGCTCTTACTCAAGCTGGCTTGTAGGCATTTAAGTGAGATTACAATTGTCTCAGGTAAAATCAACTACCAATCTCTCAACCATTGGAAACTGAATCGTGGAAAGGGAAAAGCCGCCAACAAGCCAAATCACAGGAATTCATTCTAGAGTTAATAGCAATTTGTTTACGTACAGATCTCCTGAGACATTTAGTAGATGACAGTTAGCCAACTGCGCTCTCTTCCATGGGCAAACCACTTTGGATGGAAATCAAACCAGTATATTACCAAATGCAACTTAGTACTCCATTCCTCTGTTATTCTTTGAAAATGGTCAGTTAATATCTGTGAGCTGTTAAGAAGCTCTTACAACATTAATGTTGTACGGCATCATGCACCATCGAGGAAAGACAGCATGCCAGACCCATGGCTGGTTTCATTCATCAATCGTTAGTGGCAATCTCCTCAATTCAGAATGATGTGAAAGTAACCATAACTAGTCACCGCAGTATAATGGATGGTTACAAGTAAACTCCAGAAGTCAGGAATAATAATTTGCATCATTTACTTCTCTATATTTGTGTGTTTCTTGCCCAACTCAAAGGATCACGCATAACATACTGCAACTGCAGCAGGTCAATCTAATAATTGTTGAAGGGAACACCAAAAACCATAATGATTTGTGAAATCTGTTCGTCATTGATCCACAGATCAAAAAAGGATCCTGCAATATGATTTGTGATTCAGATTTTTCATACTATAGAGGCTAACTAAATGGTTCCGTATAATGTGTAGGGCAAGTAATGCTTATTCTGAAACTTCTAGAATGTCAGTTGTCGCTACATCACAATATGCATGAGATGAGGACCTTAAACTCTTTAATAAGTTTAATGTGCTAAGATACGATTTTAAATTGATGATGAATAACGCCTCTGGGCTCTGAGTGACAGTTTTAGAACTCTCAAGTCGTGCAAAACAGAAANCAAAGAGATTGTAAGAGTTTGTGCGTGCGTGCGTGCATGCATGGGTGAGTGAGTGAGTGAGGAGTGAGTGAATGAGTAAGTGAGTCAGTGTGTGTGTGTGTATGAGAGAGAGAGAGAGATAGAGAAACATTAAGACATCTCACCTGCAAATTACTCCCTCAGTAGTCAATCCATATCTTGGCTAACTCGGGTTCATTTTTAGGCAAAGAAAATGAACAAAAATGATATAGTCATTGTCCCCAAATCCTAGCTCAAGTAACTGGAAAAAGCCCTAAGTGTCAACTATTAGGCTGGATATACAGATTCCTACAAATCAAACGTCAAATCTTCCATGAATAATGCTGCAAGAAACCCCTGCCTGAACGTTAGAACATATCTAAACCTATCTGTTCTCAGTGTTATCCACAAGAACGGTACCTTAAAAACTTAATGAAACCTAAGCAGGATACAGTAAAGAGATAAAATAATAATATATTTGTTTGAACATTATTGTTAATCGTCACAAAATAATAATATTAGATTGATAAGAACAACCAAAAAGGTTTAAAACATTTATAACCATAATATGGTAATAATTATTGCCTTATTGGTGACGGTAGTAATAACAGCTGTCGCTATTTCAGTCATGACATGTCAAAATATAATAAGGAATCTTCCTTTTTTACATATGAATTAAAAAAGTTTCCTTTTGGTATTATTGCAACTACTATTGCAGCATCGTTAAACAAAAAGATTAACCACTAGAAAAACTTATGAGAGCATGTGCGACACAAAAGCTTCAATGCATTTACATGAAGGCAGTAATAGACATCGGATATAATTGAACACCCTAAACTTAGAAGATTCGATGGAAAAGAAATTTTTGCTTCAGCTAACAACATCAAGTATAAAGCTAAGACATGGCACCTTCTAGTTGCATGGCTATTCAGTTGGATATTAGTCCTGCAGAAATTTATCTTGGCACTGGATAGTATAAGTTTGAGAAGAACCAAAACAATCTACTATTATAATCTGCAGATGATTCCATTTCAATGGTTTGGAAAGAAATTTCGTCATTCCCAATAAGGAGCATTTGAGATACCCTTCAATTGGGAGAAAAAAAAAAAGACTAAAGGTTACCGGTATCAGCTGAGTACCACTTCATATGTAACCCATAGGTCATCCAATAAGTCAACAATCCAACAATTTTCAGCAAAGAATTACACCAAGATCAAACTTACAGTTTTTATAGAGTTTCAAAGCCTTTCCAATAACGAATTGCTGAGTGACGCTGTTTTTGGATTATGCTTTCCCTAAAAACCTGGAAAGCATCAGATTCAGGAAATTAGTGGAAATTAACTTAACATTGGATACCTCTGGGATTATCTTATATATAAGATCTTGAGACCATTGAATGCCAATGCATAAAAATAGAATTAAACATTCATCACCGGATGGTGAGTAATTCAGCTTAGAGATAGAACAAATCATATTTTCAGACTTGCTTCCCAAGATCTACAAAAGCTGATTCAATCGGGTCCCTAATAAAAACTATAAATATTATTCACAACCTTTCACAAACCACTATCAAGGTACCTTTTACCAGATAATGTCATCCAAACCGATTATTCATAACCTTTACCAGTTATTGTTAAGGTAAGTTTTTATCACAGTCATGACATCGAAACCAATAAGTTGTGTTAGTCATCCTATGATTTCATTTTTACTTCTCAAATCTGATTAAATGTGTATTCTGATGAAGTAATCAGTTGAAAAACAAAAGGATGCTTTGCCCATGGTCAGCAAAAGAGTGCCTTGATCGCGCACCAGTGTGTGGAGCAAGCAAGGTAAGTATTCGGTGTCTTGACAAAGCAAAAACGTCATTAAATTAACCAAAAATAAGATTTTCAGCTCCTTTATACTTTCTCTACGTGAATATTCCATGTAAAAGGAAATAATAGTACGGCATTTATAATTGATTGCCAAAAGTGGCTACAATGAAAACGTGGGAAGCTTGTCACCTGCAAGGGAACATGAACATGTAAAACCCTTGTTTCATCAGAAAACTAGTATACTACAGCGCTGCCTTTGAAAACCATATAATGCGTATTAATATATTTAGCAAGCTCCCTAGTTCGTTGGCATATATTACCACGAAATCTTTAATTGCAAAAGTTCAGTTAAGTCCAACTCCTCCACAGCTAACAAACTACAATATTAAAGCTATCCGTTTAAGCAACATTTATGAATAATACCGTGATAGATTCCATATACAGCTGGACATAATCAAAGGGAAAAAAAAGTTTCAGCAATTAGAATATGGATGCCAACAAACTAGAATATGACCAACAGAGATATATGCACATATAGGGGTGTGTGTGTGTGTGTGTGAAATGATAGAATCATCACCACCAGATGCATAATCACACAAGACAAGGAAAAATACATAATAACAATTTCACAAAAATTAAACTGAAAAAAAAAAAGACAAAGAACTAAAACCCATCAGAAAATACCATGAGCAAAATTCAGAAAAAAAATAATTTATCCCTACTAATTTACCAGAAAAGGGAAAAAAAAAAGAGTAACACAAGCAAAGTCATCAAAAACCAGAGCACGATCACGTGAAGAAATGCTCCGGCTGCAATCAGGAAACACTACAACAAAAGTAGATAATCGGAGAGCGCAGACAAAATCAAGTAACCGAGCATCAATCAACGGTTACATTTCTAATAAAACTACAAAAAAACTGAAAAAAAAAAATAATAATAATACCAGTATCACAATCGGCGCCAAATTCAGCCGGTGAACGCCGCAGCCTTCAATAATCGGTGATCGGGCAACTCAGATGAACCAACAACCGCCGCCGACCGGTTGCGTGTGCAAACAGTGCAAGCCCAGGTAGAAAAAGGAACAATATAGAGAGAAGGAGAGAGAACAAAGCGGTGGTGGATACTGGATTGTGAGAGAAAAATGGTGCACAAATATATTATTGTATGTGTTGATTAAATGAATGAGATTATCGTATTAATTAATAAATGAAAATATAGTGAAAGATGATGGATAGTTCTGAAAGGTGATCGAAAAATTGCATTTTTTTTTTTTAATTTAAAACACATATTGTTTGGTTTTATTTGAATTTTTTTTGTTTAGTTTAGTTAATTTTGAAAATCTGATATGGTTAGTTGTTAGTGAGTATATTAAAATAATATTTAAAATAAAATAATTATAGTTGTTCTGATGTAAGGGTAAGAGCGAGTTAATATGAAACGAATTTGTTAGTTACCTTGATAGTGAATTAAAGTTGATATAGTGTGTAAGAATGATTGATATATATTATTTAATTATATTGATAATATTGATGATAGTGGAGTTGAATTACAATTGAGTTAAAAAAATGATTGAGTAAAAATGATTGGATTTTTTTTTTAGAATTTTTATATCCAAGCTTCCTCTTAAAGATTTGATATAGATGGATTGACTCGTATTTTACTATTTAAATAAAAATATATACTGATACTATCAAATGTGATATTTATATATTGTTTTTTAAAGTATTTTAACGAAAGTATACATATTGGTGAAAAAAAGAATGTCTATACATCGTTTTTTAAAAGTATGATATTTTTTAATGTAAACATACATATTGGTGAAAAAAGAATGTCGCTTAATAATTCAGTCTGACATACTATGTAAATAAAAATACATAATTATACTATCCACGATATTTCTTTTATTTATTCTTCTATTTGTGTTGTTATTTAAAATATGAATTTTAAGAAAGTATACATAATGTAAAATTTCGGCCTGGTCTAAACAATGGTTTTAAAATATAAAATATGATACTTTTTTAATGAAAGTATAACTTAAAATTTATAGTTTACCTTGATAGTGAATTAAAGTTGATGTGGTATGTAAGAATGATTGATATATATTATTTAATTGTATTGATAATATTGATGATAGTGGAGTTGAGTTACAATTGAGTTAAAAAAAGTGATTGAGTTAAAAATGATTGGATTTTATTTTAGAATTTTTGTATCCAAACTTCCTCTTAACGATTTGTTATAGATGGATTGACTCGTATTTTACTATTTAAATAAAAATATATTGATACTATCAAATGTGATATTTATATACATTGTCTTTTAAAGTATGACATTTTTTAACGAAAGTATACATATTGGTGAAAAAAAGAATGTCTATACATTGTTTTTTATAAGTATGAAATTTTTAATGTAAACAGACATATTGGTGAAAAAAGAATGTCGCTTAATAATTCAGTCCGACGTACTATGTAAATAAAAATACATAATTATACTATCAACGATATTTCTTTTATTTATTCTTCTATTTATGTTGTTATTTAAAATATGATTTTTAAGGAAAGTATACATAATGTAAAATTTCGGTCTAAACAATGGTTTTAAAATATAAAATATGATACTTTTTAAATGAAAGTATAACGTAAAATTGATATAACTCAAGTGTAGGTCGGTCTAAAGGATAAAAACGCAACAATGGTTTGGAATTTAGGTCGATGTGGACCACTACGAAAAAATGAATTGCACATTCTTTGTTAAAAGAAAAAAAAAAATTTATTGAGATATAAAATAATTTGGATTTGATACAGATGATTTCAAATTGCCCATTTGAAATTTGAAAGTTTTATGTGTGGCAATGAGTTCAAAAATAATATATTGAAGATGTGTTCTTGCAAGCACGTGGAATAAAAGAAAAAATAAAATGAAGGATATGCTGATATTACTCATCAACAATGGTTAGATGGGCTATGTGTGAATATTAGAAAGTTAAATTGTGAGAAGAAAACCCAACTTTTGTCTTTGTTTATACAAACATCACATTTAGTTGTGATCACCATAAAAGTTGTTCAGTTCTTTTGAAAACAT